GACGTTTTAAAATATTTTTATTCAAACCAGTGAGCAATGACAGAGACATCTGTCTGCAAGTTAATTAATTAATTAATAAATAATAATGGTTGTTAACATACTGAAAATTCACTAGTACAAACCAATATGCCTCCAAATATTACTAAAATTATATATGATTTTTGTTGTTATATTATAATGGGTGTTTTATGAAGCTATAATGTCCTGCTCATTGTTTCATTAATCCTGCAGGTGTAAGTGAAGGCAGGGTATTTAGTTATATAAACGGAAATGTTATGTTAAATAAATGCAAATGATACAATTTTTATGAAAACTATTGTTTTCTCATACAATTAAATTTTTGTTAGCTGCTATTTAGAGTCAATCTGTGGTTTTATCTCGGGAACAGCGCCCTCTATAGGCTAAAACATTCTTACTACACATAAAATCCTCTGAAGAGAAATCACTAAAATTATATAGAAATGAGTTACTCTTAAAAATGTACATTAGGATTTTCTTGATTTAAATATTGTATTTTATTGAGTAATTGTGTTTTTCCTTGCTTGTTTGTGTTTTTCTCCCCTTTTTAATCTTTTTTTTTTTTTTACTTTTATATTTATTTGTTATGTAAATACATTCATGCCTGTTGTTCCTCAGATAATTTTCAGGATCAAATGAAGAGGGAGCTCTCCTACAGAGAGGAGATGGTTCAGCAGCTTCACATCGTCAGAGGTGAGACAAATAAAGCAGAGGGAGAGCGCAAAGGGGGCGGTGGTGGGGGGGTCCTCAGAGGTGCTATACATATCCAGTTTCTAGCATAACATTAAAAGTTTTGTATTCTCATGGTTCATACTTTCACCGGTGAGTGACAGAGTGTGCTCTGTTAATCGGATTAGTTCGGCTCTGCACTGTTATGCAAAGCTGTGCATAAATGGGTAAATGGTTTCTGGGCCCAGAGGCTCACAGAAACACACATCCTGTCTGCTGTATAGAAAATAATGTCTTAATAAATAAATTGAAGCATGTAATTTTGCATGCATGTGTTTGTACATTACTGATCGTCTCTCCTCCTTCTTCATAGAAGCTCACGACGCTTTGCACCATTTCTCCTGTAAGATGCTAACTCCTCGCTGCACAGGATCCTGCTCCTTCAAGTCTCCTCTTCTTCCACCATGAGCTGGACATCTGTATAGAGAACACGTCTGCTGCTCAAAATAATAAAAACAACAATAATATTAATAATAACAAGGGGAAAAAATCTTTGAGGGGTTGAACTGAACTAACGTGTAATTACTGTAACATTTGGAAAATGTGTATTTCTTCCTTCAGTATTTATGAAACCATCTTGCATATATGGTGGAATTTCTTTTTACTGAATTTATGCCATTGTTTATGTTTATTTGTTTGTGGCAAAGTGCAATGAGAGTGAATGTCCTATATTTTGTGGGTTTAAACAGCGAGTTGCATTGCTTCTTTTCCCCCCCTCTATTATAAATATGTCCGCTGTTTATTTATTTATTTATATTAAAAGTTGCTGACACTGGATGCAATGCACTTTACACGAGTGATTGGAGTTACCATAAAAATCCTACAATGAGTTAGTCCTGTGTTATTTATTTTGTTTCTTAAGTCTGCACAGATGCAGAAATTAAGGGTAGCAACATGTTTCTATCCTATTTGTCTCTGTAACATTTGTTTTCATCATTAAAAAAATAAACCAGTTTATTGAAGGGTTTCTTATTTATTCTGTCAATACTCTGTTTGTTATTTCATTGTTTTTCTTTGAGCAAAGTGTCTAAAATCTGATCAGAACTCAAATTTTATCTTAAAATCCTTTTAGCATGAGGAAGCTGACGTCCAAAGTTGAGTTTGTTGGTGGATTAATTGTCCAGGCCTCAGATGAGCTGGAAATGTCTATCATACCTTCACACAGCTTAAATTAATTAATTACACTTTTCAAACATTATTGATGATGTTTGAAAAGCACTAAACATGATTTGTTTTTAAATTAACCTACCGAATGAATTTTAAAATAACAGTTGTCCAGTTTGTTGTGGCCTGACATCATTTTGTTTGTCATTCAACCAAATAAAACATATAGAAACAAAATTAATTACTCCCATCCATCCACACACACTTAAATTTATTATCAATGAGCTAAAGTAAAAACTTTAAATAATCTAAATATATAATAAATATGCTGTATGTCCATATTAAAAGAGGATTGCCAGAAAGCTGATTTATCATAAAGTGATAGTCTGATCATTTTGAAAAATGCAGAGGAAGACTTCTTCCCTTTCCATCATACTTCCTGTCCATCCATCCATCCACACATACATACATGCATTCATACAGACATGCATATATTTGTGTTAGAATTAGAAAAATTAGAAAGAGTTATTTGTTTTGTTCTGTTACTTGAAGATTATTATGACTGAACTAATTGTTTGAAAAAGGGGCAGATATAATAAGATATTTTTCTTCTTTCTGCTGCCTTTCATTTTAAATCTCTTGTATTTTTTTAAATAGTTATGGAATTGTTTTGTATTTTTAAAATGAATAAATTTTATACCATACCATACCATATCCATACATAATACAAACATCCATCTATCCAGCCATTTTCCTTTGGTTTTTCCAGAGTTGGGTCATGGGGGCAGCAGCTGGAACAGGGAGGTCCAGGCTTCTCTTTCCACAGCCACCTTTTCCAACTGGAGGGAGGATTCTAATGCATCCCTCCAGCATGTCCGAGTCTTCTCCTAGGTGTCTTTGCCACTGGACATGCCCAGAAAACCTAGGGAGATGTCAGTCGTTATCCCTGAACCACCTCAACTGGCTTTTTCTGTGGAGCAGCAGTGGCTCTCCTCCAGGTTTCTCCTGTATAATTGAACTTTTCTCCCCATCTCTACATGAGAGTCCAGCTGGCTTTGAACTTCTCCACTTGAGGCAGCTCCTCACTCCAAACCCGGAGAGAGGGAAATCTATCCTTTTCCGATGAGGACCATGGCTTTGGTGGTGCTGATCATCATCTTTTAAATCACTAAAATTAGAAACATCTTATCTAAAAATGATGCATAAAACTGGTCCATGCATTTGTCACGTCTAGACTGGACTATTGCAATGGTTTATTATCTGGATGTCCAAATACTTCTTTAAAACGTCTTCAGTTGATCCAAAATGCTGCTGCCAGAGTCTTAACTGGAGTTAGTGGGAGAGATCATATCTCTCCAGTTTTAGCTTCTCTCCATTGACTCCCTGTCAAATCCAGAATATAATTCAAAATCTTACTTCTAACCTACAAAGCTCTCAACAACCTAGCTCCATCTTATATTACAGATCTTATTGTTCCATATTTTCCTAACAGAGCACTTCGCTCTCAGACTGCAGGTTTACTTGTGGTTCCTAGAATTTACAAAAACAGAATGGGAGGCAGATCCTTCAGTTATCAGGCTCCTCTCTTGTGGAACCAACTTCCGATCTCTGTCCGTGAGGCTGACACATTATCCAGTTTTAAAACTCGGCTTAAGACTTTCCTTTTTGCTAAATCCTATAGTTAGGGTCGGCTTGGGTTTCCTGAGCTGTCCCTTAGTTATGCTGCTATAGGTTTAGACTGCTGGAGGACAAACTGACCACACTTTTCACTCTGCTACTGTCTTTACTTACTCTGCTCAACCTGTTTTGTATCTATAATTATTTTTTCTATCCTTAACATGTTTTTTTTGTATTTCAGGTATACCTGGACCTACCATTCTATGTTTGTCTGTCTCTCCTTCCTGTCCTCTCAACCAGCCGGTCAAAGCAGATGGCCGCTTGTCCTGAGCCTGGTTCTGCTGGAGGTTTCTTCCTTTTAAAAGGGAGTTTTTCCTTTCCACTGTTGCCACTGTGCTTGCTCAGGATGGGAGACTGCAACGAAGCCAAGATTCAACTTGTCTGCTGGATTCCTTAGATAGAGAACTTTACTAATTGGCTTTTATGTGTGAATGTTTCTGTAAAGTGCCCTGAGACAACTTTGTTGTGATTTGACGCTATATAAATAAACTGAATTGAATGGAATCTCAGCCACTTCCTGTTCTTTGATGGATGTCACAATTACTATAACTATTTTATGGAAAATCTAATTAATCTGAGTCCCTGTAACACAAATATCCATAATTCAGGTTTTTAACAACCTAAAATGAACATTTCCACTATTCAGAAAGCTGTCAACATATCTATCTATCTATCTATCTATCTATCTATCTATCTATCTATCTAT